CACAAAAAGAAGTCGGGATGGGTCTGAATATAAGCCTCACTTTCCCCCCAAATTCCGACCATGAAAAGTTAAAGTGCGGCTTATATTCATGACCTTACGGTATGCAGCCAGGAGCGCAGGGCAAACAGCACCAGGATGGGGAAAAGTTTAAACTAAGGCCCGTGGGCCGGATAAGGCCCGAGGGACTCGTTTATCCGGCCCATGGCGACCCCTGCTGCCGCCGCCCACTCTTACCGGCACTGCGTTGCACAGCTGCCCACTTCCGGGTCGGAGGAGCACCGGAAATAGCTTGCGTGCATGCGCAAGCGTTATTTGCGCATGCGCAAACGTTATTTCCTGTGCACATCCGGGTCGGAGGAGGCCTGTGCACATGCGCAGAAGCTATTTCCGGTGCTCCTCCGGCCTGGAAATAGCATGTGCGCACGCCTATGGGCATGCGCTCCCCTGCCCTCTGGCCCGCCACGCAATCGGCGCTAGAGACACCGGCCCGAGGCTTGGTAAGTTTGCTGACCCCTGGTTTAAATAGAAAGGGCCCATCCTGACTTCCTTTTGTGCTGTGCTGTAAAGCTCCGAGTTCCTTTTTCCACCCTGCTGCTTACTCCATGAAAGTCTGCTGTTTATTACCAAATCAGAGCAAACTGCAATTTACAAAAAAACCCAAATTGGCATTTGTTCCATTTCAGCATTAAATAGTGCGTTTTCCTTGTGAAAGCAATTGGGGGTGGGGAGAAAATGCTCAGACATGAAGCATTAGAACATGGACCCGAGTCTAGAAAGGACAGGGCAAAAAGCGAGCGTGGATGAGCCCCAAATCTTAGCAAATGTCTTACCAAACCCAAGGCAATCCAGGGATGTTGACAGCCCTTGTTTGCATTCCTTAAAAGTGAGGAACAGAGTTCCTTTTTGCACAAAAAGGGCTTAAAGGCCAAAGACAAAGCAGGTGAACTCTTGGACAATGACCGCTCCCACATCTTACCTGGGAATCATCAGTTGGCTCCAGAGCTTCTCCCACCCTACCCACCCTCAGTTAAGACTTCTTTTGCAGGTTAACCTTTTCTCCACAGGTACGCGGGTGCTGCTACGTCAAGGTCACTGTTGAAGGGCCGGAAAGGAATTCTCCTGCATTGGTAGCTTTGCCTTTCCCGTAGCAAAACGTCACAACTTTGGCGGTTTCAGGCCTTGGGTGGAATCCTTTAGTCTAGCTTCCCTGAATGGGGAGGGCATGCAGCGGTGACCCACGACCCCTTCCTCTTTGCGGCGGCAATACCAGGGTTCCCTGTTAAAGGGGTTCTTTGAGGGGAGGGTCTGGTCATACGCCTAGGGGTCGCCATTGCTCTCCCCTTCGACGGTGGCGTAACGGGGGGTGGGCTCTCTGCTTGAACACGTGTTCTCCAGAGCCAGCCCATCCTCCCCACACACTGGATAAGCCTGACGTTCCCCAGATCCCCGGTGGGGGACTGGGAGGGATAAACGCCCAATGCCTGAGCCAAGGTCTACCCACATCTGAAACATAAGAAAGTTGTGGCCAATTTTAATCCCATAGCACGTTGTCTTGAGTCGTCATTCCACACGGGGGCTGCCCAGGGTTTGGGGGACTCCGCCTGTCCACGCAAATGCAGACCTCAGTCCTTTACCACTGGCGGTGGGGGCAGATGTTATAGGCGAAGGGGATCGAGATACGGATATGCTCGTACCCCTTCCAATCTGCACCCCATCCCGAGGGACGAGGGTAGGGTGAGCAAGGATTACTCACCTCCGTCACTGGTGCTGTGCAATGCCAGGTCTATAGGCAACAAAACCGCCACTCTGCGAGATTTCTTTACCTTGCAGGGGGTCGACCTGGCTTGTGTGACGGAGACCTGGGTGAGCGAAGGGGAAACTGTTACCTTACGAGAGATGGCGCCCCCGGGTTTCTCTGTCCTCCACCAGTTACGGACTGTGGGCCGGGGGGGAGGGGTGGCATTATTAATCCGGGAAGATTGTTCTTTCAGGGCTCTACCATCACCATCGATCCCCGGCATTGAATGTGTTGGCCTAGTGTGGGGCTCCGAGAAGAGCTTGGCTGTCTGGCTGGTGTACCGGCCACCTAGCGCACCAGCAGCCACCCTGTCAGGCCTATTGGAGGCGGTGGCTGGCTGGGCCTTGGAGTTCCCTAACCTATTGGTATTGGGGGCTTCAACATCCATGCTGATGCCACTCCCTCCTCACAGGCTCTGGACCTGGTGTCTTCCATGGCGACACTAGGGCTCTCCCAGTTTGTTTCAGGCCCCACACATCAAGCAGGCCACACACTGGATTTGATCTTTGGCGTAGGTATAGATGTGATCATGTCTCCTTCGATGAAGGTGCCATGGTCTGATCACTACGCTCTGAAAGCCAGGATTGACTTTCCACCCCCACCCTGCTTAGGTGGCGAGCCGATTTGGGCTCACCCGCAGAGGCGGGTTCAGGGTTCACTAACTTCTGGACCACCGCCTTGCCGATGTGGGGATCCAGGGCACAGTCCTTCAATGGCTGCGCTCGTTTCTCTCCGGTCGGGGACAGAGGGTGGCGCTTGGGGGGGAATTGTCATCGCGCCACTCCTTGGTGTGTGGAGTGCCTCAGGGTGCGATACTCTCCCCGATGCTTTTTAACATCTTTATGCGCCCCCTCGCCCAGCTTGTCCGGAGTTTTGGGCTGGGTTGCCATCAGTATGCCGATGACTCCCAACTCTATCTGTTGATGGATGGCCATCCTGACTCAGCCCCAGACACACTGACCAGATGTTTGGAAGCTGTGGCTGGATGGTTACGTGGAAGCCGGTTGAAGTTAAATCCTTCGAAGACAGAAGTCCTCTGGCTGGGACGGGACGATATGGGATTGGGGGGGGCAACTCCCATCTCTTGCGGGGGCGCAATTAGTGCCAGCACCGTCCGTTAAGAGTTTGGGTGTAATCTTCGATACCTCCCTCTCTATGGAGACGCAGATTACAGCTATAACAAAGGCGGCATTTTTTCATCTCCGCCAAGCTAAGCAGTTGGCCCCTTATCTCTCTCGCCCTGACCTAGCCACTGTGATCCACGCGACGGTCACCTCCAGACTGGATTATTGTAACTCGCTCTATGTGGGGCTGCCCTTGAGACTGACCCAGAAACTCCAGTGAGTGCAGAATGCCGCGGCGAGACTCCTTATGGGGTCTTCGCTGTGAGATCACATTCATCCGGTACTATACCAGCTGCACTGGCTCCCGGTGGAGTACAGGATCAGGTTTAAGGTGCTGGTTTTAACCTTTAAAGCCCTATACGGCCTAGGACCCTCGTACCTACGGGACCACCTCTCCTGGTATGCCCCACAGAGGAACCTACGGTCTGCAAATAAAAACATCCTGAAGGTCTCAGGCCTCAGAGAGGTTAGGCTGGCCTCAACTAGAGCCAGGTCTTTCTCGGCTGCGGCTCCAATCTGGTGGAACGCTCTGTCGCAAGAGACTAGGGCCCTGCGGGACCTGACATCTTTCCGCAAGGCCTGCAAGACAGAGTTGTTCCACCAGGCCTTTGGTCAGGGCCCAGCCTGACTCCCTCCTCTGGCAACCTGCACAGAATTTTTGCTTAATGGTTGCCATTAATTTGATTTTAATTAATTTTTATAATGAAATGTTTTTAGAATGTTGGATTATTTGATTGTTTGATTATTTGATTGCTGTTAGCCGCCCTGAGCCTGGCTTCGGCTGGGGAGGGCGGGATATAAATAAAATTTATTATTATTATTACACAAAGGGCAAAACACCACAATTCAGCACTTTGCTCAAATGCCCCCACCATTTCACATAGAATGCTCTCCAGGGCACTTCCAGCCTATTGGGATTTTTCCATTGGGATTCAGTAATATCCTGGCAATTTCAAGTTGTGCAATTGAAGTTAGTTTGGAGCTTTTGAGCAACAAAGCCGCTCCCCGTATGAGACAACTTAGCAACAAGAAAAGTAACAGGGAAATGTGGAATAACATGCTTGACGCAATTGTTGTATAAACTGCTCACAAACAACTTGGAATGAATGGCTGTTTCTTGAACAAGCTTGCCTAATTTCCTCCCACAGTTTCTGAAAACAAATCCAGATAAATGCTTAATAAACAATAAAGACAGATCACAAGCTATGCCTTACGCAATGCTTTGTCATGCGTGAATTCTCACTGTGAGGAGAATGCCCTCCCCGGTGAGGTGCTTCTGTCTCCATTATTACTGACTTTCAGGGGGAAATAGAAATATATATTAAAAATGTCCAGTAGCACCTTAAGGTAAAGGTAAAGGGACCCCTGACCATTAGGTCCAGTCGTGACCAACTCTGGGGTTGTGGCGCTCATCTTGCTTTATTGGCCGAGGGAGCCGGCGTACAGCTTCCGGGTCATGTGGCCAGCATGACTAAGCCGCTTCCGGCAAACCAGAGCAGCGCACAGAAATGCCGTTTACCTTCCCACCAGAGTGGTACCTATTTATATACTTGCACTTTTGATGTGCTTTCGAACTGTTAGGTTGGCAGGAGCAGGGACCGAGCAATGGGAGCTCACCCCATCACGGGGATTCGAACTGCTGACCTTCTGATCGGCAAGTCCTAGGCTCTGTGGTCTAACCCACAGCGCCACCCGCATCCCTAGCAGCACCTTAGAGACCAACTAAGTTTGTTCTTGGTATGAGCTTTCGTGTGCATGCACACTTCAGATACACTGAAACAGAAGTCACCAGACCTTTATATATAGTGAGAGGGTGGGAAGGGGTATTATAAGGGTGGTGGGAAGGGGTGGTTGGCTGATAGGTGTGGTAAACCTGCTGACAACTGTTAACGAAGGGGGAAATAGGAAACATTCTTTTTTTACGAAGGCATTTGGTAGCTGAAGGATACAACCAGGGCCGTCTTAAGCATATCCAGTGTCGTGGTGCAAATATCTATCTGATACCCCCACCCACCCCGTTTCCCAGAGTTGTCAACCTTTTTTAAGGGGGGGGGCCTTCGATCCGGCTCATTTACATCATGCGGTCCGACGTGCACTCGGCGCTGCACATGAGTAAGAGGCACCCGGATCGCAGCCCAGATAGCCTCACACGAAGCCTCCCTCTAAGCACCCTGTGCCCCTTACCTGCCCCCGTCTGGGGAAGTCTTTGCCACAGGAGGGCCAGCAAGCAGATCAGGTGTCTTGCCAGCTGTGCCATCCTCGCTTGGCACCGGGATTGCACAGGGCGCTTCCCTGCTCTACTCGCTGCCAGAGGGGGCACCCCACACCCAACTCCGATAGCGCCCATCTGGCACCCAGGCAGCCCCGGCAGGAGGGGATGCGAAGGGGCTTCCCTGAGCCGGACGCAGCACGCTCCGATGGGTGACTGAGAGGAGAGGAGCGGGCTGCCCCAGAGCGGGGAAGGGAGCATGCCCTGACTCTCCGTCCCGGACACTCAGCCTGTGGCACCCTCCAAAATCTGGCACCCTGGCGTCCTGCACCACTAACATTTATGGGTAAGACGCCCCTGGATATGACATAAGAAGAGCTTGCTGACTCAGGCCAATGGCTCATTTAGTCCAGCATCCATTTCTCACAGAGGCTGACTAGGTAATAATAATAATAATAATAATAATAATAATAATAATAATTTATTAGTTATACCCCACCCATCTGACTGAGCTTCCCCAGCCACTCTGGGTGGCTCCCAATCAAGTGTTAAAAACAGTACAGCATTAAATATTAAAAACTTCCCTAAACAGGGCTGCCTTCAGATGTCTTTTAAAAATGAGATAGCTGCTTATTTCCTTTACATCTGAAGGGAGGGTGTTCCACAGGGTGGGCACCACTACCGAGAAGGCCCTCTGTCTGGTTCCCTGTAACCTCACTTCTCGCATTGAGGGAACCGCCAGAAGGCCCTCGGTGCTGGATCTCAGTGTCCGGGCTGGACGATGGGGGTGGAGATGCTCCTTCAGGTCTACTGGGCTGAGGCCGTTTAGGGCTTTCAAGGTCAGCAGCAACACTTTGAATTGTGCTCGGAAACGTACTGGGAGCCAATGCAGATCTCTCAGGACTGGTGTTAAGTGGTCCCGGCGGCCACTCCCAGTCACCAGTCTAGCTGCTGCATTCTGGATTAATTGTAGTTTCCAGGACACCTTCAAAGGTAGCCCCACGTAGAGCGCATTGCAGTAGTCCAAGCGGGAGATAACCACAGCATGCACCACTCTGGCAAGACAGTCCGTGGGCAGGTAGGGTCTCAGCCTGTGTACCAGATGGAGCTGGTAGACAGCCCCCCTGGACACAGAATTAACCTGCGACTCCATGGACAGCTGTGAGTCCAAAATGACTCCCAGGCTATCAACTTTTCCATTTTCTTGCGAGGAATCCTGTTCGGAATAAGGGAATTTCCCTTAAAAAAAGGGAAATGTTGACAGCTATGGACTAGGTGCCTATGGGAAACCAGGGAGCAGGATTTCAACACAAGAGCACCCTCCTCTCTTGTGGATTACAAACATTAAGAAAGCATTGTCTATGATGCTTTCATAAATCTAATTTATGGTGTTGAGCAAGATCTTATCTATATGAACTTCAAAGGTGACTCCCGGTTATTTCAGGTCGGCTCTCTCCACTTGCTAGCTAATTCCAAAGATAATAGGAGAAGCAGACTGAGGTAAGACATTGTGGTTGAATAATTAAGGTTTCCCGCTAGATGTGAATCAATCCAGTTCAGTCCTAGATCAGAGCTAGGCTTTGGCTCAGCAAATATGTTTTGTTCAGAGTGCTGGTTTCTGGGGGTTGGAATCAGGACCCTTCTGCCTGGTTTCAGCTGCTCCCACTCTGGTAGAAAAATGATTTGTGTGCCCTGCCACCATAATTGTTCATAACCTTATAGGGAGTAGCCATAAGGGATTTTGTCCCCTTCCTTTCAAGTACGTGTTTACCCAACATAGCAATCATTCTTTGTCATCTTTCGGTGAAGCGCAGGTCATTGCCGAGTAAACTAGCACAGGGTACAACAGAGAGAGTAGGGCCTTTCATGGCTGGTGGTGGGGTGGATGACGTCTGGCAGTGATATTTGGGGTGATATAAGCATACCCAGGGACGCGGGCGGCGCTGTGGGTTAAACCACAGAGCCTAGGACTTGCCGATCAGAAGATCGGCGACGGGGTGAGCTCCCGTTGCTTGGTCCCTGCTCCTGCCAACCTAGCAGTTCAAAAGCACATCAAAGTGCAAGTAGATAAATAGGTACCACTCCGGCGGGAAGGTAAACGGCGTTTCCGTGCGCTGCTCTGGTTCGCCAGAAGTGGCTTAGTCGTGCTGGCCACATGACCGGGAAACTGTACACCGGCTCCCTCGGCCAATAAAGCGAGATGAGCGTCGCAACCCCAGAGTTGGTCACGACTGGACCTAATGGTCAGGGGTCCCTTTACCTTTTAAGCATACCCATGTTTTCATCCTTGCTTTCATTTCATTCTCAGGACCACAGTTTCATTCTCAGGGACCATATCTCCCCAGATTAACCAACACAGACCATGCAATCATCATTTAAGGAGCTTTTTTGCGTGCCTCCGCCATGAGAGGTCAGGAGGGTGGCAACACAACATTGGGCCTTTTCTGCGGTGGCTCCCTGCTTGTGGAATCCCCTCCCAGGGGAGGCATACTATAGTAAAAAGCAAGAATAATACCCCCCCCACACACACACAGTTTAAAAGGTCATAGGGTGTTTAATTAGCCAAAGGCCTGGAAGAAAAGGAATGTTTTCACTTGGCACCTTCATAACATATCTTTAGGTGGCAGGCGAAAACATTTCCCTTCTTCCAGGCCTTTGGCTTATTAAACAATCTATGGCCTTTGAAAGGGATGCAGGTGGCGCTGTGGGTTAAATCACAGAGCCTAGGGCTTGCGATCAGAAGGTCAGCAGTTCGAATCCCCGTGACAGGGTGAGCTCCCGTTGCTTGGTCCCTGCTTCTGCCAACCTAGCAGTTTGAAAGCACATCAAAGTGCAAGTAGATAAATAGGTACCGCTCTGGCGGGAAGGTAAACGGCGTTCTCGTGCGCTGCTCTGGTTTGCTAGAAGCGGCTTAGTCATGCTGGCCACATGACCCAGAAGCTGTACGCCGGCTCCCTCGGCCAATAAAGCGAGATGAGCGCCGCAACCCCAGAGTTGGCCACCACTGGACCTAATGGTCAGGGGTCCCTTTACCCTTTACCTTATGGTGTGTACACAGGCTAAGTGTAGTCCTTCATTTTCCAGCACATTCTCCAGCGCTTTTCTTTTTGAAAAAGTCTGATCTGAGTGGGGGGAAGCAGGTTTGTTACACAAGACCTCCTGATCAAAAATATTTGTGCAACCTTAATTTGCCACTGTGTGATCTGAGAACAATGGTCTGGAACCACCTTTTCTTTGTGAAAGGTCCTTATTTTGAATGTGCAGTGCACATTGTGTTGCATAAATCATTTGACTAGTACAAAGCCTGCTCTGTCACAAAGAGCAAGGTCAGGACGGGGCTGGTACATGACATTCCACAAACCAAAGTTCATGGGGAAAGAGTTATAAACACCTTGAGGACACAGGCAGCACCCAGCCTCCACAACCATAACAGCAATTGGTTGGAATTCTCCTGTTGGAATCCTTTTCTACCAGCAACGAGGTTTTCTGCTGCCAGGGCAGAATATATTGTTAAGTAAGGTTACCAGACATCCCCGTTTCCCAGGGACAGTCCCCGGATTTACAAATCAGTCCCCTGACAAAATACATCTATTTAGTAGGAAGTTGAAATGTGTCCCCGGATTCATTGAAAAAAATATATGGTAACCTTATTGTTAAGTGCAACCCCAATCTCAGAGCACTATGAGATACCAGCGCTTTCTCAGGGTTCTGTTTCCATGAAAGGAAGGTGTTGTGACTTTAGGGAATGCGGTTTTGCTTACATATATATTGTTACAAAAGTCAGGTGCCTGCACCTCCGGTGGCAAGAGCCCATGGGGTCCTGGACACCCACACAAGGTCTGTGTTCCTTTGGAGAATGGAAGGCATGGCAGAGACTGTTGTGGCTTTAAGAAATATAGTTTATTGACCTATTTACACCTTCAGTCTGCATGGAGGGAGTCCAGATCTTATAGCATAATCATTTCAAGAGGGGCTTGCATCCCTCAGCAGTGCAGGCAGCCTTCAGCCAACCTTCCCAAGATGGATCCCAGCTCCACTTCCTGCTCCTTCTTCCCTGTAACCCTTGCTCCAAGACTCCTTTTTTCTGCCACCTCAAACATAACCCCCCATCACCTTGGTAATATTGATTCTCCAGGCCAAATAATTCCTCCCCGATGGCCCATCAACACCTTTTGTCATGTTAACAGGTTTGCTCTTTACTAAACCAGCCAGGTTGGTTTGCATAAACCAGCCCAGGAATTCTCTGTCAGGCATAGCTCTGCAGCTTTTACTTTAATCCATATCACAATTCATCAAAATCCTAGCATTTATTACCGTATTTTTCGCTCCCTAAGACGCACCTGGCCATAAGACGCACCTAGTTTTTAGAGCAGGAAAACAAGGGGGGGGGGGAATCTGAATCAAATGTTGTACTCAACTATTTAAAGCAGCAAAATGGCGACTCCTGTCCACTTTGCTGCTTTAAAGCAAGCCACGGTATGTAATGAAGAGAATGGGAAAAGGATAGACATTCCATTACAATGTAGTTGTATTCATTATCACTGGGAGTTAGTATTGGCAGCGGTCACATGAACTTAAATTTTGAGCATTTTACTGTTATTAATCAAGAATGGTAATAGTCAGGGAGAGAAGCCAGGGCTGTGCAAATGAGAAGTGCTTGGAGTATGGAGGAACAGCAAAGAGATCAAATGATTGCGCTCCAGTTCCTAAATCTGTGAAGTTTTCTCAAAACAGGCATAGTTGTTTTGAAAGGAAGATTCAAAGAGTGGGAAATGGAATGAGAGGAGGAAAAGAGGGCAGATAAATAGCTTCTATTCAATACCAAGAGAAGACAATGTTTTTGGTTTGGTATAGGTGGACTATACTTTGTATAATGAATTATAGATTTGGAGTGGAATATCAGTGCCTCTTTTCAGCAATAAAGGTTAGCTGCTAGGAACATGGTCCACAAACAAACACACAGGATGGCCAGTTACAATTAATTCTGCAATAGCTGGGTGGAGGAAATTAGCCAACAATCTTCAGTTTGAACTTTTTTTATGCACTAGATATCACTGTTTGGTTTAAATTTAACTTGAAAAACAAAGGGGGGAAAGTCTCCTGCAATGTCTAAACAAGGAAATGCATTATTATCACATCTGACTGAACTCCAAAGTTCACTTATTATCTTTTTTTTTCAAATGATATTTATTAATGTTTCAAAAAAAGGATACATAAATAAGAGAGAGAAAAAAATAAAAAAAGAAGAATACAAAATACAAAAAAAAACAATTAAAAACAATTCCATCTTTTCATCACTTCTCTTTCATTTACTTATTTCCCGGACCTCCTCATACCTCCCTTTTTCGTATTCCAGTTCAATTTATTAGTCCAGCAATTCCTTTCCCTCCTTTTTAATCCTAATCTTTAATCTTAATATATTATAGCATTAGTTTTTTACGTATTGAAAGTCCAATTTTTCCATATTCTTTTATACCATTACAGCTAGAAACCACTTAACTTCAATCCAACATCATTCTAACATTCATTAATTTTACAATATTTCTGTAAGTAGTCTTTAAATTTCTTCCAGTCTTCTTCCACCGACTCTTCTCCCTGGTCTCGGATTCTACCAGTCATTTCCGCCAATTCCATGTAGTCCATCATTTTCATCTGCCATTCCTCAAAGTTCACTTATTATCTTGCCCAGATAGCACTGATCATATGGAAATAGTTGTGCAGTTTAAACTGTTACTGAGCCAGATGCCTGCTCGGTTTTAGCTGAGCTCACTATTACTGGTTTGTGGAGACGCTTTGCATGTATTTATGACTAGTTCTGCAAAACTGCTACTTGAAGAAATCCCCAAACTTAATATTTTTAAACTTCAAATGGAGCTCAGGATCCAGTTAGGCAATTGCAGTTGAATTAGGAGGCACTGAGAGACGGCAATTTGCTGCTTTAAAGCAAGCCACGGAGGGCGGACGGATGGTTTGTCCCTCCTCCGTGGCTCACTTTAAAGCAGCAAAGCCAACGGCTCCTGTCCGCTTTGCTGCTTTAAAGCAAGCCATGGAGGAGGGATGGACAGGAGCCGTGGCTCCCAAACCTTCCCAGGGTTTCAGGGGAGGCTGCCGGCAGAGCGGTGTGGCTCCCCACCCTATTAGGATATAGTTCCGTTCCGCCTTAAAACGGAACAGGCATGACTGTTGTCTGTCACATGCCTGTTTACTTCCAGCACAGGCTTGCTGGGAACTTCCGTTTGTATATTGCTTTGCTGTCCTGCTGTTTGCTGGACACGAAAGGAAGCAGACATGTTTTTTCCTATAAATAATGCTTACACATGTCTCTGTCCGCCACTTCCGTTGTGAGAAGATTTAGTCACTCTGCTGATAGAGCGTATCTGAGGCTTGTGTCACTGTTTGATGCTGTTCCACGGGAGACCAATGATCGCCCGGCCGCCGGCCAGTGGCTGGAGCCAGCTGGGGGTTTGCCTGATGCTCCCATCTCCCCGGCAGTATCCCCACCCCCAAATAGCAGCCCAGGAATGTGGGGCAACGGCGCACAGCCTGCCCACCGCTCCCAAACCTCCCCGGGGCTTCAGGGGAAAGGGGAGGCCGCTGGCAACCTGGGAGGGCGGGGCAACGGCGTGCGCCACACTCGGGTGATTTGGCTCCAGGGACCACACATTCGCTCCATAAGACGCACAGACATTTCCCGTTACTTTTTAGGAGGAAAAAGTGTGTCTTGTGGAGCAAAAAATACGGTAATTTCTAGGGTTTAGAGAGGGTCCCCCCTTAAATCTATAACACCATACAACACCTCAGCATAGGAAGGAAAGACTCACAGCATTAACACCGCAAAAGATCCTGCTTCTCCATTAATAACAGTCAGGGGCAGCGTATCCCCTGCTTGCAGTGAAACAGGAACATGCTGCCCACCATCTCTGTGGTCTCACCACTGGTGCCACGCCTCTCTAATTTTTGTGGTGGCGCCCAGAGAGCACCGGCTTCCAGTGAGATCTGGCGCTCTCTCGCTAAAATCTCACAAGATCTCATGTGCTCTGGCTATTGAAGTCAGACTATTGAAGTCGTGATTGAAGTGGACTGGCTGCAAATGTGGCAGACAACATGGATCAACATGGCCCTCTTGTTTTCCTGTTCCTGCCCAGAGACATACATGTAGTTTTATTTTTATCAATCAATCTTTATTACGGTCCAGAGACCCAACAAATCATTACAAAGCAATGCACAATTCATACAGTCTACCTCCAGGTTAAACAAGCATTTTGTTCAAAAGATAGGGATCATTGGTTCTTGCAACCACTGATAAAAACTTTGCCACTGCTAATGTTCTAGCGTTTGTCCGGTCTTCCAATAGGAACCTGACATAGTGAGCCTCTGATTTTCCCAGGAAAGGTACCAGCAAGGGTAATATGAGTTCAACCCTGGCTTGCTCATATTTTGCACAGTGCAGCAAAATATGTTTTATGGAATCGATGTCTTGAGCACACGAGCAAAGTCTGTCCTGGTAGGGAACTCCTCTCAACCTGCCATCCAACACTGCAGAAGGAAAGACATTTAGTCTGGCTTTGGTGAAAAGCCTTCGATAATTTGGTTCTGTCGGGTTTTTAATGTAAGATGTTAACTTAAAGACATGCCCATATTTTACTCCAACTGCCAGCGGACCATGGACTGCGTGTGATCGAGATCGCAAGTCACTGTGTGCATTATCCCATAATCTTTGCTTTAACGTCTTTAGGGTGCCTTCATAACCCAGGTAATAGGGGGTTACAGACCAATAGAGGTGGCTTTTCTAGCCATGGTTTTCTGCCATTTTAGTCTTTTAGTCGTGTCCAACTCTTTGTGACCCCCTGGACCAGAGCACGCCAGGCACTCCTGTTTTCCACTGCCTCCCGCAGTTCGGTCAAACTCATGCTGGTAGCTTCGAGAACACTGTCCAACCACCTCATCTTACATTCCAGGTTCCTATGCAATATTTTTCTTTACAGCATTGGACTTTTCTTTCGCTTCCAGGCATATCCGCAACTTTCGGCTTTGGCCCAGCCACTTCATCAGCTCTGAATCTACTTGTACTTGTCCTCCGCTCTTCCCCAGTAGCATGTTGGACGCCTTCCGACCTGAGGGGCTAATCTTCCAGCGTCATAATTTTTATATGCCTGTTGTCTTTGTCCATGGAGTTTTCTTGGCAGGGATACTGGAGTGGCCTGCCGGTTCCTGCTCCAGGTGGATTACGTTTGGTCAAAACTCTCTACTATGACCTGCCCATCTTGGGTGGCCCTGCACGACATAGTTCATAGCTTCTCTGAGTTATTCAAGCCCCTTCGCCACGGCAACGCAGTGATCCATGAAGGGGACTCATACAATGCAATGTAACTAATAAAGAACTTCATTTGGGGGGGTGTTAAAAGAAAAGAGGGACGCGGGTGGCGCTGTGGGTTAAACCACAGAGCCTAGGACCTGCCGATCGAAAGGTCGGTGGTTCAAATCCCCACGGCGGGGCGAGCTCCGGTCGTTTGGTCCCAGCTCCTGCTTATCTAGCAGTTCGAAAGCACCTCTAAGTGCAAGTGGATAAATAGGGACTGCTTTCTAGCGGGAAGGTAAACGGCGTTTCCGTGTGCGGCGCTGGTGCTGGCTTTCCAGATGCAGCTTCGTCACGCTGGCCACGTGACCCAGAAGTGTCTTCGGACAGCGCCGGCTCCCGGCCTCTTGAGCGACATGAGCGCGCAACCCTAGAGTCGGTCACGACTGGCCCTGATGGGCAGGGGTACCTTTACCTTAAAAGAAAAGCAGTGGATATAGTTAATGAAACTTTATCTGAAGTCTCAGATACATCAAGCCACGTGCACCATTTTATATGCCTTTCTGCTACCATGTGTAGAATGAGTATCCTATGTTGAAATGGAAACCATTCCCTGGGAAATGTAACCTTCTTGCGCAAAAGTATGATTCCCAAGGGCCCAGTTCCAAATTACCCAATCCTGCTAGCATGGTAAAATTCAGAACTGTGTCGTGCAATATTCACCTCTGGTAATCCCTTTCCTCTCCCCATTCCTGGGAAAGGATTAAGCGATATGTTAGCTCGATCACACCCATGTAATGCCAACACCCATCTGCAAAGCCTCAGGTGATTCGTGACTTACCTTCCTCATGTGTACATGATGTAGGTCAAACACCAAGGCAAGGGGAACACAGGAAACCTAAAATAGGGGTAGATAAGATACAGCGTGTCCTTTGTTCGGGGTTCTCTTACCTGTCGGCTTCAGCCATGGGGGGAATCCTGTTGCAACTGTATATCCTAATAAAGAAAATACTGCTTCTGATATTTTGGTCTCGGACTCCTTTCATTCATAATCACAAGGGGCCCTTGGAAGATCTACACAGCTTCTTTGAGCGCGGGAGAGAGCTTAACTGGACACTTTCTCTCTCTCTGGGTTTTCGTATATCACTGACGAAAACAGGGGCAGAGATTGCTGGTGTTTGTTTATTTGCCCCATGTCAGAACGGAAACCAACCCAGCAATTGAAATCAGGACTGTATTTGCTGCTGCTGCTGCTATTGTTTTCAGTCCACAAACGGTACACAATCGATTTCTTCTTTCCACACTTTGCACTGTGTTTGCTTTGCACGGAATAATGTTACATGAAATTTTGCCGTAGTGGCAGCGGGATGAATAACGTAGTTTCTGTCGAAATAGCTGGATTGCAGTGGAACAGAAACGACGGTACATGTGACAAATACAGGGGTGGAGCAGAAATTGGTGGCTGACTGGTGGCTTTTTTACGTCCCTAGTTGGAGCATGCGTAGATTGAACCTTGCCAACTCATTAGTGGTTCAGAATGGATCCATACCAGTGGGACTGGATCCCTTACCCTCATCACTGGCCTTGTATTTGATTCTGCACTGTAGTGGGATATGTTGTTGTTGTTGTTGTTGTTGTTGTTGTTGTTGCAGTTTGTGCAGACTTGTTTATCAATCAGATGTGGCTTTTCCTGGTTGTGTTTTCTTAAGTTTTAAAAATGCTAAAAGAGGGAGAAATGAAGGGATGGGGAAGAATCATATGGAACTTCATTAAGGGGAAGAACCAAATTATGAGAAGCAGTTGATGTGGGCTTCCTTTAAAGGTGTTAAATTGAAGCCCCGTCATATCACAACACTTTAAACAGCCATCACTTCCCCCCAAGAATCCTAGGAACTGTGATAAGGGTTGTTAGGAAACCCCTATTCCCCTATAATCCCTGGGGAAAGGGATGGATTCTTAAATCACTCTGGAAATTGTAGAATAGGGGTCTCCGAACAACTCTCAGCACCCTGAACAAACCACAGTTCCCAAGATTATATGCAGGACGAAGCCGTGACTGTATAAAATGGCATGGTACTGTTTTAAATGTCTATAGGTTCCTAGTTCAAATTTTGAGTGATGTATCCCTGGCAAGTATATAGTGATGGGGACGGGGGTGGAGCTGTGGTCTGAACCACTGAGCCACTTGGGCTTGCCAATCAGAAGGTTGGCAGTTCGAATCCCTGCGATGGGGTGAGCTCCCGTTGCTCTGTTCCAGTTCCTGCCAACCTAGCAGTTTGAAAGCACGTCAGTGCAAGTAGATAAATAGGTACCACTGTGGCGGGAAGGTAAACGGTGTTTCCGTGTGCTCTGGCTTCTGTCACGGTGTTCTGTTGCACCAGACGTGGTTTAGTCATGCTGGTCACAGGACCCGGAAAGCTGTCTGGGGACAAAGGCCAGCTCACTCGGCCTGAAAGCGAGATGAGTGCCGCAACCCCAGAGTCGCCTTTGACTGGACTTAACTGTCCAGGGGTCCTTTACCTTTTTACTGGACTGCAAGTAGATCAAACCTATCCATTCTTAAAGAAATCAGTCCTGAGTGCTCACTTGAAGGACAGATCCTGAAACTGAGGCTCCAATACTTTGGCCACCTCATAAGAAGAGAAGACTCCTTGGAAAAGACCCTGATGTTGGGAAAGATGGAGGGCACAAGGAGAAGGGGACGACAGAGGATGAGATGGTTGTTCAGTGTTCTTGAAGCTACCAGCATGAGTTTGACCAAACTGCGGGAGGCAGTGGAAGACAGGAATGCCTGGTGTGCTCTGGTCCATGGGGTCACGAAGAGTTGGACACAACTAAACGACTAAACAACAACAGCAACACCACCTACTGGTGAGAGATGCTGTTGCTGAGGTTGCAGAAACCACCTCCAGATAAACCCAAGCTTGTATTGCTGTAATAATGTGTAACAATGCTGTTTGAGAGAGAGATTACAGACGCGTCTCAAGCCAAAAGTCAGAGGCTGTGCACAGAGTAGCTAAATGGGTGAGTAAAACCAGAGATGGCTGTGCAAGACAAACCCACATATAACTAAAAAATCATACATATAGATATTTTCATGGTGCAACCCTATGCATGTTTGCACAGCTGCAATTCAGTGGGACCCTACTCCTGGGTAAGGAAGTGGGGAGAATTTCAGTTCAGTTTCAAACCTATGAAATTCAACATTTGCAAAACAGTGTGAAAATCAAAGCACAGCCATTCTTTGAAATTCATACCCGCCTGAGTTTGGCGATGCAGTTATTCCATCAGAGTGCGCCAAAAAAAGGGCATATATTTGGAGAAAGTATTCATAAAACAGATGTATTAGTGAAAATAACGCACAAAAGTACATTGCACGAGGAGAATTTGCTTGCAAAGATGTGTACATTGGTACAAAACGACACACAAAAGTGTGTTCATTAGAGATCCACGCCAAAATCCTGGAGAAAGTTTGTGAGGATTTCGTTGTTGTTGTTGTTGTTAATTGCTGTAGAAATGTGGAGAACTGAATTTAAGATTGGGAAACAGAAAAGTCCTTATCAAATCCATCCTCGTTTTAGTGCAGATGGGCAGAGTTTTGCACACAGAGAGGAAATGGTCAATTAACATTGTCCAACAACTTTAGTAAGCCAAATAGAAGGTGTGAACTGAGGAGAAGCTTCCTTTTTCTCTCTCCAAAATCTGTCAACAGAGAAATTCTAGCCTGCATTTCCACCAAGCAGAAATCAGTTATGCCCATGCAAGGCTGGGCATCCATTTTCCATCCCTAGCCCCCAACATACCTGCCTCCTGCAGCCCCCAATAACCCATTCTATTCCAGAAGGGACACCCCACCCTCACCCCCAGTTCTCGGAAGCATATTTTTGGGGAGAAGGCAGGGTGGTGATGCTCAGCTGCAGTAGGTAGTGGGGTTCATTAAAAAAATCAAGGCCTCGTCTTGCACAAAGAGAAGTGGTTTCTGCAAGTGCAAAGCCCCCTATTGGGAAAAAATGCAACCCCGTCTGAAATAGAGGTGCTTGAGATTTGAGAAGGCAACTGGCCTGAAATGGAAAAGCTGGATTATTTTAGCAGGCACACTGGCTTTTTAAAGAAACCAGCATTTTATTCCTAGTCTGTTGCCAACTCTTGGAATAGCAACCCAAGTTTGGGCAGGGTTATGAGCTCTGCTCCTAATTCTGATTGGGCAAACAGGCTAAAAATGCTTCGGGGCAGGAATGGGACAGGAGTGGGGGCTTCTCTTTCTCAAGAGCAAAATGGCCAGAACTGGACATTTTCTCTGTAGCTTTAGAATGGCAACTTTAAGAGCTTGAGCTTGATTTCCCCTCCTCCCTCCCATTCCTTCTTTCCTTGTGTGTCGTGCCTTTTTCGCTTGTGAGCCTGTAAGCAGGGACCGTCTTAAAACTGATTTTTTTGTTTGTCACCACTGCCTTAGAATATCAGTTGTTGGGGAAACACAAATAGAACAGGGTTCAATTGCTTGAACACCGAGCTCTGCTTCTTGTTTATGGCCTAAGTATGGGTAACAAAAAAGGGATGCGGGTGGCGCTGTGGGTTAAACCACAGAGCCTAGGACTTGCCGATCAGAAGGTCAGCGGTTCGAATCCCTGCGAAAGGGTGAGCTCTCGTTGCTCGGTCCCTGCTCCTGCCAACCTAGCGGTTTGAAAGCACGTCAAAGTGCAAGTAGATAAATAGGTACCACTCCGGCGGGAAGGTAAACGGCATTTCCGTGTGCCAGAAGCGGCGTAGTCCTGCTGGCCACATGACCCAGAAGCTGTACGCCGGCTCCCTCAGCCAATAAAGCGAGATGAGCGCCACAACCCCAGAGTCAGCCACGACTGGACCTAATGTTACCTTTATGGGTAACAAAGGAAGTGGCTCTGTGCCAGAGGGCAAATGGGTGCCCAGGACAAAAGGTTGAGTTGAGGTATGTGAATGCTGGGCTGGAAGCAGGCTGCAGGCAGATGTCCAAGAGGGAGAGACATGCTTGATTTCTGCTGGAATCCAAGGCTGGGAGGAAACAAGAGCTTCTTGGGGTGTTCATGCTGTGAGCGTCTCAGGCTCAAGTTGTATAGATGTTTAAGTAAACCATATATCATAAAGACACCACAGTCTCTGCTGACCCTCATTCCAAGGAAAACAAACCCTTGCAAAGCGCCAGGAACCCCTGGAATCTTGCACCGCTCAGAGATTGGGGTGGCTTGCAACATTACGTTCTTTTCTCCCTGTCATTGTGCCAGTCAAACTTGGAGCCTCCCCGAAACTGGATTCAGTTTAAAAAAGAAAAGGAAAGCAACTGCAAATAACATATTGTCTGAACATTGCAACATTTCACAAGAGCACAGAGCGAACTGCCGCAGCTTTGAACTCTGTCCTTTCGTCTTTAATCTCTTGCTATCTGTAAGCACTGCAGAAAGTCACAACCTGTAAAGCAGGGAGTGCCTTTGGGGTGAAATTATAATTGCACTGCAGAGATAAGCTATCACAAATACCTAGAAGTAAATTTATGATGACAATCCGTGGCACGTAACGCTAGTTCTCCTCAGGGCCAGATTTAGGTTTGAGGAGGCCCTAAGCTACTGAAGGTAATGGGGCCCTTTAGATGTCCAGCTGTCCTTTGTCAACAACAAATTGTCGCTGGGTTTTTTTTGTGTTGAATATAATAATAATAATAATAATAATAATAATAATAATAATAATAATAATTTATTATTTGTACCCCGCCCATCTGGCTGGGTTTCCCCAGCCACTCTGGGCGGCTTCCAACAAAGATGAAAAATACACTAAAATGTCACATATTAAAAACTTCCCTGAACAGGGCTGCCTTCAGATGTCTTCTGAATGTCAGGTAGTTGTTTATCGCTTTGACATCTTGTGGGAGGGCGTTCCACAGGGCGGGCGCCACTACCGAGAAGGCCCTCTGCCTGGTTCCCTGTAACTTGGCCTCTCGCAGTGAGGGAACCGCCAGAAGGCCCTCGGAGCTGCACCTCAGTGTCTGGGCAGAAAGATGGGGGTGGAGATGCTCCTTCAGGTATACTGGGCAGGTATACTGGGCAGAGGCCGTTTAGGGCTTTAAAGGTCAGCACCAACACTTTGAATTGTGCTCGGAAACGTACTGGGAGCCAATGTAGGTCTTTCAGGACCGGTGTTATATGGTCTCGGCAGCCGCTCCCAGTCACCAGTCTAGCTGCCGCGTTCTGGATTAGTTGTAGTTTCTGGGTCACCTTCAAAGGTAGCCCCACATAGAGCGCATTGCAGTAGTCCAAGCGAGAGATAACCAGAGCATGCACCACTCTGGCGAGAGTGGTAATATGGTAATTTATGGACCTAATAGGAGACTGCACAACACAAGACACTGTTGCTGTATGTAGGTTTTATTTTATTTGTCTTTTATCTTATATTTTGGAAATGTACATCCAGGTTTTTTTCCTTTAAATTTTTTGGGGGCCCTCAAGGGAGTGGGGCCCTAAGCTATAGCTTGTTTAGCTTATACGTAAAAGATGTGGGTGGCACTGTGGGTTAAACCACAAAGCCTAGGACTTGCCGATCAGAAGGTTGGCGGTTCGAATCCCCACGACGGGGTGAGCTCCCATTGCACGGTCCCTGCTCCTGCCAACCTAGCAGTTCAAAAGCACGTCAAAGTGCAAGTAGATAAATAGGTACCGCTCTGATGGGAAGGTAAACGGTGTTTCCGTGCACTGCTCTGGTTCGCCAGAAGTGGCTTACTCATGCTGGCCACATCACCCGGAAGCTGTATGCCGACTCCCTCGGCCAGTAAAGCGAGATGACCCCAGAGTCGGTCACGACTGGACCTAATGGTCAGGGGTCCCTTTACCTTTATCTAAATCCAGAACCGGCTCTGCTCTGGGTAGACTCATTGAAATGAATGGACATGGCTAACTTTCACAGAATCACAGAATCAATGGGTCCCAATGATCATTTAGTCCAACCCCCTGAAATGCAGGAATCTTGAACCCACGACCTTGAGATTAAGATGCTCTACTGACTGAGCTATCCTCTGAGATAAATGGGTCTTCTCTGAGAAGGGCTATTCTGGGATACAACCCATGGATGGATTCTAAGTTTAATACTTGTCTATTTCTCATCACTTGTTGCAGCAATATTTTATCACTTTTTTGGGGGGGGGGTTAGCCCAGTGAACACTAATTGCATTTCTACTTTATTGCAGAACCACCTCATGCAGTGAATTGTTCTCTTTTCCCCTCACCCCATTTCCCCCCGCAGCATTGCAGTACAGTGGTACCTCGGGTTAAATACTTAATTCGTTCCAGAGGTCCGTTCTTAACCTGAAACTGTTCTTAACCTGAGGCACCACTTTAGCTAATGGGGCCCCCCGCTGCCACCGCGCCGGCGGAGCACGATTTCTGTTCTCATCCTGAAGCGAAGTTCTTAACCCGAACACTATTTCTGGGTTAGTGGAGTCTGTAACCTGAAGTGTATGTAACCTGAAGCGTATGTAACCCAAGGTACCACTGTACTCATTTACCTTGTTCTCCCAACACACACAGCACGGGACTCGAATATTTTGTTGTTTGGTGCTAAAAATAAACTTTCAGGCTTTCTCCTGCTCCTTCCCCCCTCTTCCCCCCAAAAATCATCTGGGAAAGGCTTTCAGTCACCTCTGGCATACAGAATTCCTTTTGCAAAACTTTTTGCCGGTGTCCGAATGGACATAACCTTTGGGGGCAGGGAAAAGGTAAGAGTTCAGTCACCTAGGTGAGGTGAAGCAATCACAGACAGCCTTTTGCAGCCTCCTTTGTTTCCCCAGTTGTGTAACAGTTTGCTGAAGAACAAGCATCAGATGGGGGGGGGGGATCAATTTGGGGGAGGGTGATGGTTCGGCTTCTTTGCTTAAATGGGTGGCTACCTAAGTAAACACTAATTTCCAATTAGAACGCGATTCCAGAGGAGGGAAGATCAGAGAGCATTTGGCTGCGTCCTCCATAGTCTGTGCACTGGCACAAATCAGAGTTGGGATTGGGATGGAAACCTCTTAGATCAGTGGTCCCCAATTAATGGTCTGGGGACCCCTGGGGGGGTCTGAGGAATGCACCTAGGGGGTCCGCAGCTGCATCCCTTGCTTCCCCCAACTAAATTTCTGTCATTTTTGCATGGTAAGATCACACATTTTACGGTCTGTTTTATCGCTGTGTGATTTTTTTCAATACAGTGGCCAAAATCCATTCTAAAATCACACCGCGATAGAGCGGATGCTCAGGTTGCGAATGTGTTCCATGCGCATAGCTGTCAACTTTTCTTGCGAGGAATCTTATTCGGAATAAGGGAATTTCCCTTTAAAAAAGCGAAACGTTGACAGCTATGTCTGTGCGGGAGGCACGTTCGCAACCCGCAGCGTTCGCAACCCATGCCTGCGCACACGCGGGTTGCAATTTGGCGCTTCTGCGCATGCGCGACCGCCGAAACCCGGAAGTAACCCATTCCGGTACTTCTGGGTTTCGGCGGTCCGTAACCCAAAAAAACGCAACCTGAAGCGTCTGTAACCCGAGGTATGACTGTAATGGTTTTGACCCGGCAATACATCGCTCCTTGCATGAGGGAGAGCAGGCCAGCTGATTCCAAGGCGCCACTGATATCACACGATGATAACGTTGCTTATCTGAGCCTCGAGGTGTTGCCTTCCCCTAATGCTGACAGAGAACAGGGCAGCTAATTGCAGCTAAAGGCACCGTGGCGCCACCTTCCCCTGGCACTGAGGCCAAGCAGCTATTCTCAGTCAGCAGTAAAGCAGCAGGTGATTCAGCGCCTCCAGGACTGCTTCTTCCCTCATCCCCATGCTTATATTTATAAAATTTCCGGTTCTCAAATCCATCTTTTATTGAGAATTTTTATGTTTACTTCTTCTTTTTTTTGCAATTGTAGAACTCCAAGGATCATCCAGTCCAGGCATCCCCAAACTCGTCCCTCCAGATGTTTTGGGACTACAATTCCCATCATCCCTGACCACTGGTCCTGTTAGCTAGGGATGACGGGAGTTGTAGTCTCAAAACAGCTGGAGGGCTGAGTTTGGGGATGCCTGATCCAGTCCAACCCCCTGCCATGAAGGAATTATCAGCTAAAGCATAATTAGAATTAAACATTCTTTTCCCACGATCCTTTGTTAATTGTTTCTCACCGGTTGTTGTTGGGTTTTTTTTGCCACAAATCTGGTGTGTTTATGTAAGGCACCCTGGAGGTTCTTTTACTTAAAGTTAATTAACTTTAGAACTAAATAAATAAATAGAATTGTAGAGATGGAATGGACCCTGGAGGTCATCTAATTCAACCCTTTGCAACGCAGGAATTATCAGCTAAAGCAGTGGTTTTCTTCCAGTGTGCCGTGGCACCCTGGGGTGCCTTGAATGATAGTCAGAGGTGCCGTGGGCAACACTGGCCTCTGTCCCTCAGGGACAGGGGGTGGCAGCTTAGAGATCAGGGGCGGCAGCTGCGGCTGCACTCTCCGAAGGAGAGGGGAGAGGAGGCTAAGGGGACACTCCACAATGGAGGGTGTTAAAAAAAAAAAAGGTGTGTTGCCGCCAGCTCTGCATGCAAGGGGTCATATAACTTGGCTCCTGAGCCCCTCATGGGTGCCACAGAAAGAATGTAGGAGCCGTGGATTCAAAAATGTTGAAGACTATTGAGAGTCCCATAGAGGAGAAGGGCACAAGGAGAAGGGGACGACAGAGGGCGAGATGGTTGGACAGTGTTCTTGAAGCTACCAGCATGAGTTTGACCAAACTGCAGGAGGCATTGGAAGACAGGAGTGCCTGGCGTGCTCTGGTCCATGGGGTCACGAAGAGTCAGACACGACTAAACCATGGCTGTCAACCTTCCCCTTTTTTTGCGGGAAATTCCCTTATTCCAGCGCCGTTTTCCACTGCTATCCCGGATTGTTAGATATCCTCTAGACTGTCCCCAGGACAGGTGAGGCTGCTGATCCCTTATTTTCAAATCTGAAAGTTGACAGCTATGGACTAAACAACAAAAGCATCCATGGCAGATGGAACATCCACCCTGTGCTTAAAAACCTCCAAGGGAGGCAGCTCTTACTGCCAGAAAGTTATTCCTGGTGTTTAGTTGGAATCTCATTTCTTGTAACTTGAACGTGGCTCTGCTGCATCACAAAGCACATTTATTTCCTACCTGTCCTACAAGAAACTCAAGGAAACATATGTGGTTCTCTCACCTCTCACACACAACAACTTTGCGAGGTAGGTTAGACCAGAGAGAGAGAGAGAGAGAGAGAGAGAGAGAGAGAGAGAGACTGGCCTAAGGTCATCCTTTTTGGTTCAGTGTTCAATGACCGGGGATGGTTGTGGTTTTTTTTAAAAAAAATTATTAAAGATTTTCTTGTTTTACAGAAGTAAGTGTAATGTCTCTCATATTTTTTCCATGTAACATTTTTACAAATCCGTTTCATTAGTTGAGCCATTAGGGGGAGGGGGGAAAAAAGAAGGGGTGGAGGGAGGGAAGATGGGTGGGGGTGGGGTCGGGTGGCGATGTTTCTGTTATGCTTAATGTATGTGGGGTTTGGTGTCAGCGTTGCTTGTGATGTTCACTTGTGTTCCTTTGGTGGTGAGAGAGGTTGGGGTTGGCCTAGGGTGTGGTTGTTTGTTTGTGATTGGCTGTGGTGGACTTTGTTTTCATGTGTGAGTGAGGTGGGTAAGTGTTTTTGGATCAGGTACACCACAAAGAACTCATAACCCACCTACTTTCAGCAGCCAGAAACACCATAACCAGACACTGGAGAGACCTGTCAGGAGTAAGCATGGACCAATGGTACCAAATAGTATGGGAAACAGCCCTACTAATAAAATTAAACAATAAACCGAAACTGACACGGGGACAAACAGAAGAAGACGCCTTCACCCCGGTATGGCTCCCCTTTATCACATACACAGCCCAACAAGACAACGACAATAATCCACCAACAGCATACAAACCGGGGATAGATTTTGAACCTTGGCCATCAAGGTCTTGCACGGCACTAGCTCACGCTACACGTGTAGAGCAGGCCTCCTATTCTCACATAAGGCTTGCACCTTCTTAATAAATATTTCACTTCCAATAAAACAGCAGAGCTGGCCTTCCTTAAACCCAGCAGAGGAAGGGGGTAAAGTCCATAGCCCAGCGGGCATGCCCTGCTGGCATCTCCAGGCAGGGCAGGGAAAGAGTCGCTGCCTAAAACCGCCTGGAGAGATGCTGCCAGTCCGTGTAGGCAACACTGGGCTAGATAGACCAACGATTTCATTCAGAAAAAAAGGCAGCTGCCTAGGTTCCTTCGCTATGATTGGCCAGGATACAGTGATCGACATTTGAAAAGCGCAGCGGGGGAGGGAGGAAAACCCCGTCCGGCCCACCAATAGGGGGAAGCTTTCTAGCAGCGCAATGCTTTCTGGGAGTTGTAGTTTCCACAAGTGACAATAAAGTATTTAATTTCATTTCATTTCTGCAGCCTCTGCAACGTTCAGGGTGGGAAGGGCAGGAGCAGCCTTTCTCAACCCGTGGATCCCCAGATGTTGTTGGACTACAACTCCCATCACCCCTAGCGAGCAAGGCCAGGGCTCAGGGATGATGGGAGTTGTAGTCCAACGACATCTGGGCACCCACAGGTTGGGAACTGCTTCGCGCAGTAGCTCCGGGGGCTCCGTCGTCCGAGCACCGGGACGGCTGCTGGGGTGAGACTGGGGTGCAAGGGGGAAATTAAACCCCAAGGAGAAGTGAGTGGGGTTTTTTTCGGGGGGGAGGGATTACCTTTTAAGCAAGTTGTAAAGAGAACGGGCAGGTGCTTTTTAAACAGGGATTATCTGACTGGGGGAAACTCCGTTAATTGCATTCCTATTTGACGCTTATGCCCTACTTTGCTCTAGGCTGCGTGCATGTGGATCTGCTCCTTAATCCTCGGAAAACCGCCCTGCAAGGTAGGCGAGGTGTTGCTGGTCGCCCAGGGAGCGTCATGGCCATTGCACGGATTTGAACCCGTGTCCGGCCCTCCAGCCACTTGTCAGCTGCGCTTGATGGCACAATCGAAGGGTTTCTCTCTGAGTCGCTGCTGTTGTAAGAAAGGCAGAGTCCAGCCTTCTTTTCTCCTTATGCCACCCTCTGGCCCAAGAAAGTATTATTATTATTATTAAACGATCCTTTCTTTAGATTATTCTTCGATGCGACGGCTGGGCTCCGTTCCGCTTGGGAAATGTTTTATATTATGTGAAATGCATAGGAAGGGAAGCCGCCCATAGCAGAACAGTGCAATGGCACATTTACCGGTATATCCTCAGGCAAACTGTTTTGAGGAAGGAGAGAGTTTGTTGAAAAAATAAAGTCCTAAAGCATTCGATGGAGTTGTACTCCCAGCCACTTATCAATAAAGAAATAAGATTTATATTGCAAGGTGTATATTGTAAACTGCCAGGGGATCTTTATTTAGGATTTTACCCCTATACTGCCACGGGGGCCGGATTAAATCGACCGTCAGGCCGGATTAGGTCCCCAAAGCAGACTTGGACATGTCTGACCCACGAGGTCACTAAGAGAAAAGTGAGGCAGTGGATGTATAAATGTCTATCTGGCTTTGAACAGACGGTACCACTGAATCAAGTTCCCAAATTTTGCTGAATTGATTAAACTAAATACACAGTTCCAACTGGGTTTTGAATAAAAGTGCAATTAATTGCTACTGCCTTGAATTTTATTGGGTTATTATCTTCCTTAGCGGGTTGTGCAGGATGCTGTTGTGGATTAAAAAAAAAAATTTAGTAGGGTAGGGGGATGAGTTTGGGAACCCTTGCTCTTTGATGTTCCACATTCACCTTGACTCCTCTGCTGCCGTGACCTCACTTGTGTCCCCCACCCCAAAATATCCTCTGTCTCTTTTCGTGCTGCTTCCCTGAGCACTGAGGTGACCAGGGGACCAGCAACAATCTGGTTTTCCTTGCAGCCCAGCAATCTTTCACAATATGGTGCCCAATTTTGGATCTTCTCAATTACTGGTCTTCTCAATTTTGTGCCTCCTCGACTCAGCACCCTCTGCGGGGGAACCGCCCTAAACCTGGCGCTGCCTGCTTCATTTATCCTACCCAATAGCTAGTATTGTATTCAAATTAACTCTGCCCAGTTTCCGCTTATGAATTAAATACTGTGGGCGCCATATTGCCCCTCCCCATTCATAGAAACATATGCGTTCCATTTTCAAGCACTCCATGGAGCTACGCAAGCTTTCTCCATGTGAGAGGATAGACTGAGATGAAGGGGCCTGGTATGCAATAAGGCATCCCTATAAAATAGTCACAGATTTGGTATCTTCTATGGTAACCCATAGACGCGGGTGGCGCTGTGGGTTAAACCACAGAGCCTAGGGCTTGCCGATCAGAAGGTCGGCGGTTCAAATCCCCGCAACGGGGTGAGCTCCCGTTGCTCGGTCCCTGCTCCTGCCAACCTAGCAGTTCAAAAGCACGTCAAAGTGCAAGTAGATAAATACATACCGCTCCGGCGGGAAGGTAAACGGTGTTTCCGTGCACTGCTCTGGTTTGCCAGAAGCGGCTTAGTCATGCTGGCCACATGACCTGGAAGCTGTACACCGGCTCCCTCGGCCAATAAAGTGAAATGAGCGCCACAACCCCAGAGTCAGCCACAACTGGACCTAATGGTCAGGGGTCCCTTTACCTTTTATGATAACCATGGTCTTGCAAATCCCTGGAAGAATTAGACAAGCAGATCTATGGATAAGGTGTTGTATGATTAGATTGAGGGACATGTTTGGTTCTGCAAACAAATTTCTTCCTCCAAACTTTTCCCCACAGTCCAAGTAACTTCTCTGTAACAGGAATATAATTCACCTAGTGTATTGAGAGCGGTTAAAATAATGTTCCTTCTATAGTGGAGCTGAGGAACCTCAGGCCTGGCGGCCCCCAACACCTCTCCATTTGGCCCTTGGAACTCCCTAGGCAACACCCCCTCACTGCTCTCCTTTAATGCTTTTGTCTTGTTAGACTGTATCTTTGACCTGTGATATTATTTCCTGGGTTGCTGGTATCAATATTTGTATTATTGTTCTGTCTGTCTAGGTTTGAAATACCATGTGAAGTGTTCATGCATTTGTGTAGTTTATTACAACAAAATTAGAAAGTAAACGTAGCTGGGATAGCTCAGTCAGCAGAGCGTGAGACTCTTAATCTGAAGGTCACGGGTTCGAGCCCCACATGGGGCAAAAGTTTTCTGCATTGCAGGGGGTTGGACTAGATGACCCTAGTGGTCCCTTCTATGATACCTTCTTCAGGGGAAAATCTGGAATTTTTTTCAGGTAGGTTAGGAATGAGTATCTTTCATCTTTTCTCACTTCCTTCCTTGCAGTTAGCATGGCGTCCGGTTCAGAAAATCCTCTCTCTAGCTACGAGACAGACGACAGCCAAACCTCAAAGCTGATCAGAAAGTCCCGGGAGTCTCCATTCGTCCCAATTGGTAAGTTGCTCTGACACAGAAACATTTCACCATCGCCCTCCTTTTGTGATCTAGGGAAGAAACGCAATTCCCCTCTTAGGCAATGGGTATAAACAAAGTCTTGGACAGTCAGCAAATTCCCTTGAGATGTTGCTTCGTTGTTGTACCCAGTACAGTAGAACTGAATTGAAGTTTGAATTGAATTGAAATACTTTATTGTCACTTGTACAACTTGTATACAGTGAGATTACACCAGCACCCCCCACTCAGCTCTCTTACTCTTAATTCCCCTTGTTTACTGACGCACAGCCACCAAACCCGAAAGTCAGTTGCCCTGTTGTTATCTTTTCATTCAGCAGCCTAACAGCCCACGGATAGAAGCTGTTCTTTACCCTGTTGGTGCGACTAATCATGCTTCTATATCTTCTGCCCAAGGGCAGGAGATCAAGAAAGTGCCGGCCAGGGTGTGAATCATCCCTGAGAATTTTCCTCACTCTCCTGGGGCAATGTTCTTCCTCAGATTCATGGGACAGCCCATAATATCTTGTGCTGTATTCACCACCCTCTGTAGGCACTTCCTATCAGCTGGTGTCCATCCAGCGTACCAGACCGTGATGCAGTAGGAAAGGACACTTTCTATTGTGGACCAGTAGAAGGAGATCATCAGATGTTGATTGACATCATTCTTCCGCAATACTCTGACCAGACTTTTTGAAGACATATGAAGGCAGCCCTGTTATGGGAAGTTTTTAATGTTTGATGCATTACTGTATTTTAATATTCCATTGGAAGCCACCCAGAGTAGCTGGGGAAGCCCAGCCAGATGGGCGGGTTATCAATTATCATCATCATCATCTAATGTACCACCATGTGGTGGAAATGTAAAAAGGAAAGAAAATTTTGGGAAATTATTTCTAATGAGTTTAAAAAACAAGTTCAGCTTAACTTTTATCTAAAGCCCGCAAGCCTTTCTTTTAGGCATCATTGATGCAGATATTCTGAAGGAACTGAGAAAGGTATTCATGTATGCAATTACTGCTGCGAGAATGTTAATAGCTAAATGGTGGAAAGGAGATAAATACCAACTGAAATGGAGGGGCAGGAGAAATTATTTGAATATGTAGAAGTGGCAAAGATGACAGGAAAAATTAGGAAGCAGGCAAACCAAAAGTTCAACAAAGAATGGGATTTATTTAGCCTATATTTAAAAGAACATTGTTCTCATATGAAATCTTTGACATGCTTTGATTAACTTCGGCAATGTAATACGCTTCAAAGGTTTATGGTAAGTCAAATGATAAACAAATATGCAGTCAACAAGTAAACAAAGGACCCATACTGAGGGTGATGGAAGTCTCAACATATGGAGGAACTTTATTTTACAGTCACACCTCATGTTACGTCCGCTTCATGTTACGTTATTTCAGGTTACGTCCCATGGCAACCCGGAAGTACCGGAAAGGGTTACTTCCGGGTTTCGCCACTCGCGCATGCGCAGATGCGCAAAATGACATCACACGCATGTGCAGAAGTGACGAATCGCAACCTGTGTGTGCGCAGACGCGCCACTGCGGGTTGCGCTCTTTTCATGTTTCAAACAGGCCTCTGGAACGGATCTCGTTCGCAGCCAGAGGTACCACTGTATATGTAACATTTTCTTTGTAACTGATGTGATCTCTTTTTTCTTTCTTTTTTTTGTGGTGAAGGGACCTAATATTTTAAAAAAATCAGTAAAGATTAAATTGCAAAAAAGAGAAAAGAATCTAGCGTTTCCCTCCAACTCTACAATTGAAACGGAGGCGTTTGAAAAGCACTTTGTGACGGCGTGTGACGCTTGAGGGTTTTCAGATGTTCAGTGCAAGCAACTTCCACGAACCTTAGCAAAGTTTTGCATCCCAGGCGCGGCTAGTTCCCTGTCTCTTTCTTTCTCTCTCACACACTTTTATCAAGAGTTCTGTTGAGGGTGTTGCCATGGCTGGCAAACAAGGGATTCAAAAACCTACAGTGCGCTTCTCACCCTCTCTTCCCCTTTTCCAGGCATTTCGGGTTTTGCAGCCGTGGTGGCCTACGGGCTGTACAAGCTGAAGCACAGAGGGGACACCAAAATGTCCGTCCACCTGATTCATATGCGTGTCGCAGCGCAGGGCTTCGTTGTGGGGGCCATGACCTGCGGTACGTACTGAAACGGGAGACTCCTGTGGCTTGATCTGCTAGGCGGCAAATAGCCTTTCCCTGAAAACCTTTGTTTCAGCTTCCCAAGGGACCGGAGAGGGTGGGTTGATCTGGGCTGCTCTTGTGCTGTGCAGACTGTTTCCTGTGATCTGAGTGGCAAGAGCCTTCTATCAGGTGGAGGATCAACGTTCAAAGTTGGAGTCAACTCTCCATTAGCAAAAACATGATATTCACAGACTTGGCTGTTGGTTCTAATGAGCACAGCAGGTCACCCTTGGTAGGTCTGGCCCCATGAATCGGCTGCTGAGACTGAAAGTCTCTGCCTTCCCACAGCCATCTACCGTATTTCTCGCTCTATAAGACGCACCAGACCATAAGACACACCTAGTTTTTGGAGGAGGAAAACAAGAAAAAAATATTCTGAATCCCAGAAGCCAGAACAGCCAGCGGGATCGCTGCACAGCAATCCCTCTTGCTGTTCTGGCTTCTGGGATAGCTGCGCAGCCTGCATTCGCTCCATAAGACGCACACACATTTCCCCTTTATAGGAGGGAAAAGGTGTGTCTTATAGAGCGAAAAACACAGTAAGTTCCCTCCCCTTCAGGGCTTTTCCCAAGCAATCAGAGACTATGCCTCTGTGCAGCCAAGCTCTTCTCTGCCCTTTTCATGCCACTTCTGATTCTGGGAGTCAGAGGGGGGTGGAGCTTGTTGCAGCAGGAGGTGGAAACACCCATGACTCTTCACAAGCCTGACTCATCTCTGCCTCTTGGCCTCCCTCCTCTCCTGCTTCCGTCTCTGCCTCTGATTTTGGATTTCTCTCTACCACAAATTCCCCCTGCTCACTAAGCCCCATTCCCTCTTCAGCTTGCAACACCTCCTCCTCCAGTCCCAGTCTTCTCCCTCTGCTCCCTCTGACCACTCATCACTGCCCCACCATGACTCCCCGAGCTCTGAGCCTTCTTCCCATGATGGTTCCCAAGCTGCTTCCTCTGCACCATAGCTGTCAACCGTCCCTTATTTGGTGGGAACCTCCCTTATCCCAGCGCCGTGTCCTGCTGCTGTCCCTTATTGATGATGTCCCTTAAATTTCCTGGGTTTCAAAGGAAGCAGCTCCTCTCCCTCCCTGCCTGCCGGCCAGGGAGAAGGGAGACTCCAACTGTGTTGCTTGGCTGCCCGGCCCACCCCCCTCTGGCCTCCTCTCACCAGCCTTGGCCCCCGGGAGCCCCTCCCCACTGGGACTGGCGGGAGCCTCGGGCCCTTCCACCGCCATCCTCCTCACAGCCACCGAACTGAGCATCTCTGCCTGGGGCCTCCACTCTGCCCTACGCCGCCGCTCCCGCTAGGCCGTACTGTGGCTGCACCGCCGAAGGACCCGGATGAGATGGGCAGCCTGGCGTGGCCTATGAATTGCTGAGGAGCCTTGAGAGGAGAGTGAGGGCAACCACAGAGAACCATAGAGAGAGGAGGAGGAGGAGGAGGAGGAGGAGGAGGAGGCGCGGGCAGGTGTTCCAAGGGCTAACCATAGAGGGGGAAAGTGGAGGAAGGACCACAAGCGCTTCTCCCATAGATTTGTAGTGGTAGACTAGCATAGATGGTCTGATCTGTGGGTTTAATTCGGGCGCTATTCCTCCCCCTTCCTCCCGCCCCGCCTGATGGAACTGAGAGCTGCAGATGGAGCACGAGAGAAAAGATACAGAACTGCAGCAGCATCTTCGTAGCTTGGACTTCGTTTTGCGTGAAAAGTGGTTGCTGCTTGTAGTTCTTTAATTGCAGTGTTTCATCAGCTGGTGTCTTGAGCAGCAACCTCTGGAAATGAAGGGCTAAAAACCGGCGCTGCTCTCCAAAATTACCTGGTCCCTTTTAACTTCGCATTTCAGCTGGTTGACTAAAATCCCTTATTTTGGCTGCTGATCCCTTATTTTCAAGGCAGCTGGTCCCTTATTTTCAAATCTGTAAGTTGACAGCTATGCTCTGCGCCTATTACACTGAAATAGAAACAGACAAACTGATCCCTGGCAAAGTGTTCTGGACCTTCCCCCCCCCCCCCGGCCGCCCTGATTTTACCTTACAAGATGCATGTCCCACATAGTAAGAATACGCAACAGATCACACTGTTAAATCTGACTTCCTTGGTAGGTTGTGATAACCACTGTTTGGAATAGGTCTTCCAGCAAGGATGTAGTTTTTGTTGCCGTCTCTTTCCCCAGTCAAAGAAAGACGGCTTTGAATTCAAACCCTCCTATCTAACATGCCTTTCTCTCTCCCCCCCAGGCATCATTTATTCCATGTATCAAGAATACTGGGTGAAGCCCAAGCCCTAGGAAGCGGTCAATTGAAGCCTGTCCAGAGTTCTTATGTACCCTAGAGAAAGACCTCACTCGGAAATGGCGCTGCAATAACTACAACTTTGCACAATCTCATGCACAGTGTTAAACTCTACGCTGCCAGTGTGGCTCTGCATTAGGTTGTTGGCGGCAAAAGCGATTCCCCTCTCTCTCTCTCTTGAGTGTGACCATCAATTGATTAATTTTCACAACATGCAACCCTTTTTCACTAAGCCTACCCAACACGTAAGGTACCCTGGCTTAGAAGTCCAGCGTTTCCTCTTCAGAGTTTCCTCTGGGTTGTGAACAAGCAAAGCAACAAAGTGAGGGATATTCCTGTGTTGGTGCCATGCCTGTTTAAGAGATAGGTGGTCAACCTCTCTTAGCTCTGAATTAGAAACAATTGTGGTGGAAGATTAACCCATATGATGTGAGCCTTAAATAGCAGATTGTAAATAGTTTAATCTTTATTTAGTTTTTAATGCTTTGCTATGTTTTTGTATATGCTTTAAGCTCCCCAGAGTGGCTGGGGAAACCCAGCCAGATGGGTGTGGTATAAATAATAAAATTATGATGCTGATTATAATGAAAATGATGATGATGATTTATTAAAGGTAAAGGTACCCCGGACCGTTAAGTCCAGTTGCGGACTACTCTGGGGTTGTGGCGCTCATCTCGCTTTACTGGCCAAGGGAGCCAGCGTTTGTCCACAGACAGTTTTTCCAGGTCATGTGGCCAGCATGACTGAGCCACTCTGGCAAACCAGAGCAGCGCATGGAAACGCCGTTTACCTTCCCGCCAGAGCAGTACCTATTTATCTACTTGCACTTTTTGGTGTGCTTCCGAACTGCTAGGTTGGCAGGAGCTGGGACCAAACAACGGGAGCTCACCCCATCGCAGGGATTCGAACCGCCGACCTTCCAATCGGCAAGCCCTAGGCTCTGTGGTTTAGACCACAGTGCCACCCACGTCCCATTGATGATTTATTACCTAACATTAAATTCTAAAACTTCCACTTCTTTTCACTCTGGGTGGCATTACAGCATCTTGAATTCTTCTCTCTCTCTCTCTCTCTCTCTCTCTCGCAATTGCCAAAAAACACACTTTTCTTTGGTAGCACAGAATTAAACACAGAATAAAAAGGTAAAGGACCCCTGGACGGTTAAGTCCCATCAAAGGCGACTATGGGATTGCGGTGCTCATCTTGCTTTCAGGCCGAGGGAGCTGGCATTTGTCCACAGACAGCTTTCAGGGTCCTGTGGCCAGCATGACTAAACCGCTTCTGGTGCAACAGAACACCGTGATGGAAGCCAGAGCGTATGGAAATGCCCTTTACCTTCCAACTGCAGTGGTACCTATTTATCGGCTTGCACTGGTGTGCTTTTGAACTGCTAGGTTGGCAGAAGCTGGGACAGAGCAACGGGAGCTCACCCTGTTGTGGGGATTCGAACCACCAACCTTCCGATCGGCAAGCCCAAGAGGCTCAGTGGTTTAGACCACAGCGCCACCCACGTTCACAGAATGCTGAACCCTTATCAGTGCAGCAAGGTCCTCCATACATTTGGATTCCCCCTGGTAGCGAACCAAAATCTGTCATTGCCACCAATTCTGAGCCTCCCCTAAGTGGGGCAGTTCTTGATTGTGACACCATACCGAACTCTATCTGAAAGGAAGCCCCTGGCTTCCTGTCCGGCTCAAAGTTTGGAGAGGAGGAGAGGTTGTGGGGAGCCCTCACCAATGACAAGATGGTCTCACCGCTTCCTGAACCTCATCATGAGGTTGGGAGATCACTTGCCTCCCTCCAGGAGGAAAATGGATCTGTTAGTGGCCAGGGGGTGCTGGTTATATCCTGTTCTACGCTTGTAATCACCAGCCAAAAATTCAACCCAATAATGAGCAGCAATTAAATCAGCCTTCTTCAAATCTCTGGTTGGGCAACAGCTATTATCTTCCAGCTTTTCAGGCCTGCTGCCTCTTTTCCTAAGCAAGGAAACAGTCTAGTTTGAATTGTTGTCTGTTGGCAGGCCATGATGTGAAGCAGTCTTGAAACATCAATAAATTAAAAAGAAGTCCTTAGAATGGAATTAAAAACCCAAAAGACAAAATGTTTAAAAAAGGCAGCAGACCTGCAGCTGCTGATTTTGCAGCAACCTGCCCATATGTGTCAATAAATGTTGCTATCCTGTTGTTCGCAACTAATAAATGTAACCTTACAGCTGTGAGCAAACTGGAATTTCAAATCTGTAAAATCCTTGGCTTTATCATGGTGTTCTGAGTGATATTGATCAACACAGTATAAATCTAACCCAATGACTGCTTTTATTAAACATATTATTATAACCAACACCGCCTTTCTATTAGGTTTTGATGGTAACAAGCGTCTCTTGATTAAACTGCAAGTAATATATATATGGGACGCGGGTGGCGCTGTGGGTTAAACCACAGAGCCTAGGACTTGCCGATCAGAAGGTCAGCGGTTCAAATCCCCGCGACGGGGTGAGCTCCCATTGCTCGGTCCCTGCTCCTGCCAACCTAGCAGTTCAAAAGCACGTCAAAGTGCAAGTAGATAAATAGGTACCGCTCTGGTGGGAAGGTAAACGGCGTTTCTGTGCTCTGCTCTGGTTCACCAGAAGCGGCTTAGTCATGCTGGCCACATGACCCGGAAGCTGTACGCCGGCTCCCTCGGCCAATAAAGCGAGATGAGCGCCGCAACCCCGGAGTCGGCCACGACTGGACCTGATGGTCAGGGGTCCCTTTACCTTATATATACACGAACACACATATGATTGGTTTTATATACAAATGCTGTGAGAAGGTCTCAGACCACTCCTTTTTTGGTTTTTGACCTTCATTTTCACATTCTTTTTTCCCTATTAATGGCTATTAATCCTGTCTTCCAGTTCTCTGCCCCCAATTAGCGTTAGGGAGCTGAGAACCCTGTGCTTGTATGGTTACATGCATTTGTGACCCCAAATCCAGCTGCATTATCAGTTCCCTTTTGCCTCTTCCTCTCCCAGTCAAAATCCAAAATGGCGTACTAGGCCTGCCTTTTGCCAATTTCGGTCTGTCAGGTACCAAGCATGTGGGTGGTATTACTACGTTGTAAATAGCTATGATCTTTTAAAAAAAGGATTAGATGAGCTAGTGAAAGTGGCCGTGTGTCTCAAGTCTAAAGGCCCTGGTTCAAAACTCGCCTCAGCCACGAATCCACAAGATTATAATCAAATAATTTAGAGTCTGAGAAGGGATTCAGAGAAACAGATAATTATGAGGAAGCTCTTCTGTTTGCGTTGGTCAGAAGGTGCTTTCCGCTAGATGGCAGCAACTGTGTTGTTTTAAAACTTCAACCACCAGCACAGTGAGGGGCAATTCAGATGATGTTTCCAGAGCCAGTGTGGTGTAGTGGTTAAGAGCGATGTTAATATTTAAATCTTAGAATAGCTTTGGAAGTGGATATAGGCTGTAGGGTTAGAAGTAGAAGATAGTGTATTTTAAAAATAATATTAATTGTAAGCGATAAAATGCGAAGTTATTTTAAATGTGATTTTTTTAAAAAGATGGTTAGAAACTATGATATATGTAAAGACGAAGTAAAATGAAAATCAGATAGGTGGGACTTAGGAAAGCCCACTTAACAATGTTTACAAAAATAAGGATATGAGAAGAACTTGTTTGTTTTGCTGTTTGTGTTCTTTATTTGTGTTATAAAATGAAGGAAAAAATTTGAAGGAAAAAATAAATAAATAAGAAAAACATGAATTGAAATCATTCTGCCGGGCCTCTCTGTGGCATGCTTTGCTTGTAATGTGTAGCCCGCCCTGATGAGACCTAGCTCCTTGGTCAACGAAGCAGGTGACGTCTGCTGCAAACCAATTGGCCCTTGCCATTCAGGCCGTGGCTCCAGGCAGGGCAGGATGCCAACATCTAACTCAGCGAAGCCAAGAGGCGCTGAATTGCCACGGAGAATGCCAAGAGACCCCTTTGTCTAGCTCGCCTGTTTCCTCCAACAACTTCAGCAGATTTGGACGTTTGTCAAGCGCTGTGTGCGACAGAAAGAGAGAGCGCGACGAGGAATCGTATGCTGGAAGTTGTTTTAGCGCAACTCGAGAAATGCACCGTATTTTTCAGTGTGTAAGACGAGGTGTTTTTTTTACGGGAAAATTATGTATAAAATTTCCCCCCCCATTTTTTTTTATTCATTTAAAACACAAATAAACAACACAAACAGAAAAACAAACAAATTCTTGTCTTATCCTTATTTTTTCTAAACATTGTTAGGTGAGCTTCCCCAAGTTCCCCCCATCTGATTTTCATTTTACCTCATCTTTAGCAGTTTACATATATCATAATTTTTAACCATTTTTTAAAATCACACTTACTTTTACCATAAAAATCTTCACATATTATCCCTTACAAATAATACTATTTTAAAATACACTATCTTCTACTTCTAACCCTACAGCCTATATCCACTTCCAAAGCTATTCTAAGATTTAAATATTAACACATTTTTTCAAATATTCTTTAAACTTCTTACAATCTTCTTCCACTGTCTCTTCTCTTTGGTCCCGGAGTCTCCCAGTCAGTTCGGCAAGTTCCATATAGTCCAATTTATGTATAAAATTTGGGGTCGTAACAATACTTCTTTTTTTCATTCTTTCTTCCTGGGGCGAAAGGCAGGGCAGCCACCGGGTGGCAGCGCTGAAGAGTCGATGAGAGACACAGCTAACTCATTCTGGTTTTGCCTCTCTACTCTTCCCTGTGGAGTCCGACAGAAGCAACACTGAAGTATTGAGGGAAAACCTAATCAAGATGTTTTATAGATGGTATTTAACACCTACCAAAACAGCTAAAATGTACAAGACAAAAACAAATCTGTGCTGGAGGTGTGGTAAAACAGAGGGGACACTTATAGATGTTTGGCGGACCTGTGAAAAAATCAGAAGCTTCTGGAACACAGTATATGATGAGCTTAAAAAAATGTTGAAGTATAACTTTATGAAAAATACAGAAGCTTTTCTTCTAGGGATAACGGACACAGGTATAGCAAGAGAAGATCAGAAAATATTCCTCTATGCCACAGGGGCGGCAAGGATCCTAAATGCTAAAAACTGGAAAAAAAGAAATTGTGCCAACAAAAATGGAATGGCAAGACAAACTGTTAGAGTATATTGAACTGGCTAGATTAACAGAGGCAATTAGAGATCACACTAGACAAGAGTTTTAAAAAGCATGGGGGAAATGCAGAGAATACTTCACAAAACAGTGCCCTAAAATACATAGCTGGACTTGTTCCGATTAATGTCTGCAGGAGGTTTTGTGGATATTTAAGTTATAATTAGAAAAATATTAATAATTATTCATAAAGGAAACCGTTTATAAGAAGTAAATAAGATACAGGATAAAGGAAGTATTTTATTTGGTTGTTTGTATTGTTGTATGTTATGCTTATTGTATGTTATGTTCACGTTTAATGCGGGTGGATTTGTGTATTGGGGGTGGGGTGGGGTTGTGTTTTGTTGTAAATAAAATTCCAATTTAAAAAAAACAAACGACAGAGGCAACACTGACGCCAAGGAAGATGGCAAGCAGTGCCCCGCCCAGACTGGGTGCAAGTAAGAAGCAAGCAGGCAAACGGTGGATTCAAGATTACAAGGAAAGAGATTCCAGCTAATCATTAGGAAATACTTTCTGGCAGTAAGAGTTATTGGACAGTAGAATGGAAGGCGGTGGACTCTCCTTCCTTGGAGGTTTTTAAGCAGTGGTTGGGTGGCCATCTGCCATGGATGCTTTAGCTGTGATTGCTTCATTGCAGGGGGCTGGGCCTTGGGGTCCCTTCCAACTCTACACTTCTATGGGTCTAAAGGTAAAGGACCCCTGGACGGTTAAGTCCAGTCAAAGGCGACTATGGGGTTGCGGTGCTCATCTCACTTTCAGGCCGAGGGAGCCAGCGTTTGTCCACAGACAGCTTTCCGGGTCATGTGGCCAGCAGGACTAAACCATTTCTGGCGCAACAGGACACTGTGACAGAAACCAGAGCGCACAGAAACACCATTTACCTTCCCGCCGAAACGGTACCTATTTATCTACTTGCACTGGCCTGCTTTCGAACTGCTAGGTTGGCAGGAGCTGGGACAGAGCAACGGGAGCTCACTCTGTTGTGGGGATTCGAACCGGTAACCTTCTGATCAGCAAGCCCAAGAGGCTCAGTGGTTTAGACCACAGCACCACCCACATCCCATGTGCACAGCTACAAACAGAGGCTTGACAACCATATGTCAGGAGTGCTCTGATGGTGTTTCCTGCTTGGCAGGGGGTTGGACTCGATGGCCCTTGTGGTCTCTTCCAACTCTATGATTCTATGATTCTATGAAACACCTGCGGTTTTTAGCAGCAAGATTCTGGCGGCACTTTCTGCCCCCCCCCACCCAGTGCTGCTACGATAGCAGCTCCTTTTGGGGAGAGCCAACTGGAAGAGTGCAGCGACTTCTGCTGGAGCTCTAAATTAAGCCGCGGCCAGGCCAAGAGGCGGATCATATTTCTCTCCTCTCTGCCTTTTGCCGTGACAGCCTTTATTTTTACCTCCCAGGGGACACCTTCGCCCAGCTCTGTTTAGCGCTGCCTGGATCCCACATCCCTCCCCAGGGGATTTGGAAGGGTGACAACC